CCTTTCCCGCCTGCAGCAAGGTCTGCCGCAAAATACTCCCTATAATAGTCCAGATTGCTGCAGCAATAACGTTTTGACCCCTCCAAGCAAAAAACAACGTTTTTCTCTCCACGATTTCGTCTCTCTGCTGGTCATCATACAGGACGCACGAGACCTCTACGCCAAGACCAAAGACTCGTTGGACAAGGAGCAGTGGAACCCCGAAGACAACGAGGAGTACGAAGACGGGGAGGGCAACGTGCTCAACAGACGCACCTACGAGGATTTGGCCCGCCAAGGCCTCATGTAACGGAGTGGTGACCTGGCATGGTGCCGAGACGGCGGGAAGAGAGAGAGAGAAAGGCGGTGGCCAGGGGAGTGAGGATGCTCCGCTCTGTAGCAGCGTGTGCTCGGGGGTGGGGGACGGGGGTATTTGTGCTGGTGCTGCTGGTGCTGGAGCTGGTGGTGCTGCTGCTGCCTCTGCTGCTGCTGCTGCACCTGCTGCTTTGGTTTCGGGCATGGACGAAGCGAGAGGGAGATTTGCTGGTTTGCTGCCGCTACCGTTGGATCTGCTCGGCGTGCGTGCTCATGTGGCGGATCAGGCATTGGTGGAGTGTTTGTTGCTCTCCCGTTTCAGATGCCCAAGAGAGTTGCAAGTACAGGGCACGGCTTCATCTTCTCTTGTGTGGGTTGCATGCGTTGTTGTACGAAGCGTGTTGCGAAGATGATCACGGTTCGCTGTAGGAAACAGCTAGCTGCGTGTCTGGAATGCGGGGAAGTGATGTTTTTGTTGCATGTATTTCCACCTGCTGTCAACTCCGCCGCCTCAGGTAACGATAGCCTATGTAAGTGTACAGTTGCTGCTGCGCACGTTTTTCTAACGCCTCTCGTTGATGCGTTCATCATGGTTTGTACCCNCGCTGTAGGAAACAGCTAGCTGCGTGTCTGGAATGCGGGGAAGTGATGTTTTTGTTGCATGTATTTCCACCTGCTGTCAACTCCGCCGCCTCAGGTAACGATAGCCTATGTAAGTGTACAATTGCTGCTGCGCACGTTTTTCTACCGCCTCTCGTTGATGCGTTAATGGCTTGTACCAGCACGGTGCCTCGTGTAGTAAAAGGGTCAGATGAGTTTTTGCTATCCCAACCAATGTTGTAGTAGTTTCGTGCGCAAAATAATCAGACACGTCTTCTCTCATTTTCATTTGGAGGTACAAGAGTTATTAGGGTAGGAAGCCAGCGATGGCGTTGATTTGTGTGCTAGTGTTAGCTTTTCGAAACGGTGGGGTGGCCACTCTCAACTAGCGGGTGTCGCATACTGCTTATCCATACTGACGCAAAGAATAGAGCTCGTCAGATAAGAAACTTTGCGAAATGGCTTGTGGGGCCGGTAACGGAGACTTATGATGAAGCGTGTGTTGCCGTGTTTTTCCATGGCGATCGGGTACACCTTAGAGTCTTCAAGGACTTTCGCATGGGCTGAAGATGCCGAGGATTTGGGTGCCTTTTCCCTGCCACAGCTTTGATGAGAGCAAGTTATGCTTGCCCTTGTACCAAGCGGCCTCATTTCCAATGCTTGTATAGTTGTTCTCTGCTGGCCAAAGAAGCAGGAAATGTTGTTGCACAAGCAAAGTACCCACGTCTCGGCCGATGTAAGATAGTGTGTATGGTGGTGCCGTTTCAGGGACTTACGGCGGCCACGGCTGGATAGTGTTGGTGTCGTCGAAACGCGAGCGTCAAGATGGCCTCG